AAGTTTTAATAATTTTCAATGTCATCCGTTTACTTGTTTATTTGTACGATAAAATTAAACAACAAACAAACAAGTATAAAAAATAGTGATTCCGAGGGAACGTATAAACCACTAGGTGGAATATTTCTTGAAAATACCTGTATTTACTGAAATTCGTTAAGCTGGAACATTTTAAACTTGGAATGAGTTTCATACTTTGCTAATATGTATCTCTAAATAAGAACCAAACAGAAAACTGCTTACTTTGTGATTCATCATTTCATAGCCAATCTTAAACCTTATTTCAATCTTGTCACAAAATAAATGTCGTAAAGTTCGTCGCTTGACGACTGTAAGAATGGACATTGACCAAAAACAAGTCGTCGTCATAGTAACAGCTGCTTAACGTGATGGCTGCTTTAGTTGCTAAGAAACGTACAATTATACATTGAATAATAGATGTTACACTCACATAATGATAAAGTAACACTGTATTCTACCACAACTACCACTGGGAATGACGTAAACATCTTGTGTTTATATATATATATATTTATATGGACACATGCAAATACGTATGAGCTAACGTTGATTTAATGAAGCCTATTTTTTTTCATTTAAATGAAGCTCATTTTGCTATTGGTTGTAAATATGAAGATTAAAACGCCTTTAACAACCGACTATTGTTATTCAAACAGCAAAGCTAAAAAATCCCCCAAAAAGTTAAAACTGCGAATATATTTTCAAAATGTAGAACAATATTTCGACAATGTATCTAATATTTATTTTCTATATTTCATACGTTTTTAGCCTTTTGTTATTTCTGTTTTAAACGGGTAAGTAGTGTTAATATTAACACGATTGGTAGTTTTTATTTCTGTTTTAAACGGGTAAGTAGTGTTAATATTAACAGGATTGGTAGTTTTTATTTCTGTTTTAAACGGGTAAGTAGTATTAATACTAACACGATTGGTAGTTTTTAGTTCTGCTTTAAACGGGTAAGTAGTGTTAATATTAACACGATTGGTAGTTTTTATTTCTGCTTTAAACGGATAAGTAGTGTTGATATTAACACGATTGGTAGTTTTTATTTCTGTTGTAAACATGTAAGTAGTGTTAATATTAACACTATTGGTAGTTTTTATTTGTTTTAAACGGGTAAGTAGTGTTAATATTAACACGATTGGTAGTTTTTATTTCTGCTTTAAACGGGTAAGTAGTATTAATACTAACACGATTGGTAGTTTTTATTTCTGCTTTAAACGGGTAAGTAGTGTTAATATTAACACGATTGGTAGTTTTTATTTCTGCTTTAAACGGGTAAGTAGTGTTAATATTAACACGATTGGTAGTTTTTATTTCTGCTTTAAACGGGTAAGTAGTGTTAATATTAACACGATTGGTAGTTTTTATTTCTGCTTTAAACGGGTAAGTAGTATTAATACTAACACGATTGGTAGCACCCACAGCAAGGACTTTTCATTTTCTGATACTCTCGTGAAAAAATGATAACGCCAAATAAAGAGAGCGAATGAAACAGCAGCAATACAATAAGTATTATTTTCTAAAAATCGCTAAAATAGATTGTGACAAATAACCACACAATAAGCCTAATTTTACATAACATCACAAAATTCTCATTCATAACTTACTCTCTGCAGTGACAAAATAAGCAACCGAATCAACAGTTTTTTTTAATGCGATACCGGTATAATATACTTTAAAACACTCTCTAAGGTAATGGCACGTAAGGTTGTCATGACGAAATAAAAGACTTAAGTATACAAAAATACATGCAGGTAGAGGGCGTTCTTAAAATTGTCTGTTGTTCGCCGAGTGGGATGAAACTTTCTTTCACAGGACTAAACCAGAGCACCAACCATGATCAGCCTGAATTAATTAAGTTCGAAACAAGAGGGAAAATATGAACACACAGAGAATTAAGAATGAATTTTTAATGATTAATTATATAATTCGAATAGCTCTAAAATTTTGAGTTTGCGAAATATGAAATTTTGTTTTGAAATGACTGGTTGTAAAAATGAACAGAAAAAAAAACCAAATCAAAAAGGGCTCGGATACAAGCTGTGTTGTGAAAACAACTTCAAGGATGGACTCTGGCCTGGCTTTCAATCGTGAAACATTCTCTTCAAAAGCGCCCTCTAGCCCATCTTAATAAAGCGTCAGCCAATACATCTAGATGGGCCTTCGTCTGAAAGAGAAAATATATACGTATATTGATTGTTTCAAATTGAGTCATCTTTACATAAATTTAATAATAATATGAACTAAAGCTCACATTATGCAAATTGATATTGCATATGACATAAAGGGAAATATTCTTGTTTCATTCCCAGACGTGTTTTTATTAAGGATATGCTTATGTTGCAACTGAATTTTGAAATAAAAAAGCCGCATATGTAATTTTTGTGAATTATTCTTGTGCCCTTAGTAAACTAAATAAACATTGGACATCTTTTTAAAAACACATATTAACGAAATGTCTTTAGACAGCAATAAGACAAAGAATAAGAAAGTTGTGGAAATTTGATGAGAATGTATGAATAATTAAGAGTTTACAAAAAAAAAAAGAAAGCTAACCACCACCAGCCTGCTATCACGTGCAGCTTCTAGCACTACATAAACATTAATTATTTAATAGTTTTGTGACATCAGTAGCGCCCTCTTATCCTGTTCCATTTTTTAACTAGATTAACTGAGAACGTTTATATCCCACAAGGCATACGGCGCTCGTGGAGAGTCCACGTGGATCTGATGCGTTCCATTATGCATTATTATAATGTTTGTTTAACGTTTCTTTTATCGGTGTGCGGTATTAGAATCTAAATACTCCAACAATTGAAAATAGTTCACAAGTATATAAAGTAGTTATGAAACTGGTCTTTATAAATGTTATTACTCCATAAACCAGTTTGGACTCTTCAAAAACATACCTTCGTGATATCGAATACATAGAAACTAGTCATTGACCTTTTCTTTCTACTGTATTTGTTCAACAGAAACACAACATGTTTTAAACGGTCGTGGTTTCAGAGGCAAGATGACTGTTAGAAAAACGTTAACAGATAAAAATGTTTGTCGTGTAGCAGAGACCGACTTATTCAGCGGTGTTATTCCTCCCCCCCCCCCCTCGTAATTAACAAATTCATAAAACTGATAAAAATGTTTGTCGTATAGCAGAGACCGACTTATTCAGGAACGCCTCCCCCCGGGTCTCTTGGGAACGTTAACTGAATGAAATACAGGTTTGTTCTCTAGCAACGAAAGATCGGATCCCGTATCCTCTGCGAAAACATGTGAAGCCTAACATAAGAGAACAGCTATCAGTATTTTTCATGTTCTGAGTTAGGCTAAGTAATTATTCGAATGTCACTAGGTGGTCTCAAACAGAGAAGATGATGTTTCATACCCAGGTTTATAGGAGTGTTGTTGTCTTTCGTATCCACCAAAAGAATAACTCTTTCTAATGAATAGAAAAACATATCACTATGTGTATTGACGAGTGTAAGCTGGAGTAGTTAGAAGTCACTATGTGTATTGACGAGTGTAAACTGGTGTAGTTAGAAGTCACTATGTGTATTGACGAGTGTAACCTGGAGTAGTTAGAAGTCACTATGTGTACTGACCAGTGTAAACTGGAGTAGTTAGAAGTCACTATGTGTACTGACGAGTGTAAACTGGGGTAGTTATAAGTCATTATGTGTATTGACGAGTATAAACTGGTGTAGTTAGAAGTCACTATGTGTATTGACGAGTGTAAACTGGAGTAGTTAGAAGTCACTATGTGTATTGACGAGTGTAAACTGGAGTAGTTATAAGTCATTATGTGTATTGACGAGTGTAAACTGGAGTAGTTAGAAGTCACTATGTGTATTGACGAGTGTAAACTGGAGTAGTTAGAAGTCACTATGTGTACTGACGAGTGTAACCTGGAGTAGTTAGAAGTCACTATGTGTACTGATGAGTGTAAACTGGTGTAGTTAGAAGTCACTATGTGTATTGACGAGTGTGAACTGGTGTAGTTAGAAGTCACTATGTGTACTGACGAGTGTAAACTGGAGTAGTTAGAAGTCACTATGTGTACTGACGAGTGTAAACTGGAGTAGTTAGAAGTCACTATGTGTACTGACGAGTGTAAATTGGAGTAGTTATAAGTCATTATGTGTATTGACGAGTATAAACTGGTGTAGTTAGAAGTCACTTGTGTATTGACGAGTGTAAACTGGTGTAGTTAGAAGTCACTATGTGTATTGACGAGTGTAACCTGGAGTAGTTAGAAGTCACTATGTGTACTGACGAGTGTAAACTGGAGTAGTTAGAAGTCACTATGTATATAGAAGAGTGTAAACTGGTGTAGTTAGAAGTCACTATGTGTATTGACGAGTGTAACCTGGAGTAGTTAGAAGTCACTATGTGTATTGACGAGTGTAACCTGGAGTAGTTAGAAGTCACTATGTGTACTGACGAGTGTAACCTGGAGTAGTTAGAAGTCACTATGTGTACTGACGAGTGTAAACTGGGGTAGTTAGAAGTCATTATGTGTTCTAAAGTGACAAGTTTTCCGTTTGGTAAATTAAAACGCTTCGCTGAAATTTCTGGGTTAGTTTACATGAATAACACTCTTGCAATTATTTTTAGAGAGAGAAAAATTTTGTTACTTTTTGAACTTCATATTTAACATTACTAAAGGCAGAGCTCATAAAAACAGCACTTAACTCAGGTAACGCTTTTTCTCCGTGACGTTCGGGCGAATAACACGAGGAAAAATGCAAATTGACAAAAGTGGCAATAATGACACCGATTAAAATTGCACAAGTAAATTGTTGGAAATAAACGCATTTTTTTATAAAAATCGTAAACATACACTCTTGCTATTTTTTCCTTCTGTGAAGTAAATTTTTTTTTTTTTTACTTTGTGTTATCACTGTTGTTACTTTTACCAGTGCCTTTTCTTTGCCAATGGTTTTATTTTGCCTGTTCCTTTCCCATGTCACACTTACCGTTTTATAAAACATACAGGCCTGTCTATCTTCGTCCTCACCTTGAGGACAGTCAATGAAACCATCACACAACTCGTGATCATCTATGCATCGGTACCGGCTCATTCTGTCTGGGGTAGGGCAGGCAAACCTTTCAGTACCGTCTTCGGCGGGCGGGCACTCTGTTTGTAAAGAGGGGGAAAAAAGAAGTTTTTCAAGCAGTCAAATGATGTTAGAGCAGTAGTTTATAAGACAGAATTAACAACATTCACTTACATAAACCACAAGAGTTTATTTACTGAGCCACTTTTACGGTTGAAACATTTCCAAGCCCATCTTTTCTACAATTAAATTACAGTATGTGATCAGAAATACTTACTGGAGTGAAAATTAACGATATAAAAGCTAGTTTTTAACGTAATTGAAAAATACCGTGAAAAAAAAAACTAACTAAAACAGAACTCAGAATAGAATATAGATTAGTAAGTAGAAAAATTCTTGTATGTTATCAGAATAGAATGTAGAATGGTAACTAAAACAAATTGTTGTTTTATCTGACTAGAGTAAAATAGAACAAACGTTTGTTTGTTATCTGACTAGAATGTAGAATAGTTAGCTGGAACAAATTATTGTGTTGTCTGACTAGAATATAGATTAGTTAATTGGAACAATTTATTGTGTATTATCTCAGTAGAATATAAGAATAGATAGTAGAACAAATTATTGGGTATTATCTGACTAGAATAAAGTAGAACAAGCTGCTGTGTTATCTGACTAGAATAAAATAGAACAAACTGTTGTGTGATATCTGACTAGAATAAAATAGAACAAACTGTTTGTGTTATCTGACTAGAATAAAATAGAACAAACTGTTGGGTGTTATCTGACTAGAATAAAATAGAACAAACTGTTGTGTGATATCTGACTAGAATAAAGTAGAACAAACTGTTGTGTGATATCTGACTAGAATAAAGTAGAACAAACTGTTGTGTGATA